GTACAGTAGTGATATATTTCAAGACCCCCAGTGGTTGCCTGAAATCACAGATAGTACTGAACCTTATATATATACTATGCTTTTTCCTACACACGTGCATGTATACTTATATAAAGTTTATAAATTAGGCACAGTAAGAAATTAACAATAAAACAGAACAATTATAATACTGTAATAAAAGTTATGTGAATGTGGTCTCTCTCCCTTTCTCAGAATATCTTTTTTTTTTTTTTCAGAAAGAAAGGCATTCCTTATTTTAATTAATTAATTTATTTATTTTTGGCTGTGTTGGGTCTTCGTTGCTGCGCACAGGCTTTCTCTAGTTTCGGAGAGCGGGGGCTACTCTTCGTTGCTGTGTGCGGGCTTCTCATTGCGGTGCCTTCTCTTGTTGCGGAGCATGGGCTCTAGGCGCGGGGGTTTCACTAGCTGTGGCACACGGGATCAGTAGTTGTGGCTCGCGGTCTCTAGGGCGCAGGCTCAGTAGTTGTGGTGCACGGGCTTAGTTGTTCCGCGGCATGTGGCATGTGGGATCTTCCCACGCCAGGGATCGAACCATGTTCCCTGTATTGGCAGGCAGATTCTTAACCACTGCGCCACCATGGAAGTCCCCAGAATATCTTACTGTACAAATTTAATGCCTTTCCATTTTAACTAAGCATTTCTCATGCACTGTGGCTGTAACTTTTGCAGTTCAAGGTGCAACAGCAAAACTGGCACTAATTTTTCTCTCTCCACCATTTCAGATAGATTTGTTCTTACCGTAGATCTTAACAACCTCAGCATATGATTTTTTTCTTTCCTCACTAGGAGCTTTCACCTTTTCGCTTAAAGGAAGTGCTTTACAGCTTTTCTTTGGCGTATTCCGATTGCCAGCATCACTACTCTTGCGCTTTGGGGCCATTAAGTAAAATAAGGGACACTTGTATACAAGTACTGTGACACCTTGACAGTCAATCTGATATATCTGATGAGATGGCTACTAAGCGACTAATGGTTAGGATACACTGGACAAAGGGATGATTCTCATCCCTGGGCAGGATGGAGCAGGACAGTGAGAGATTTCATCATACTACTCAGAATGGCAGCAAGGAATGCAGCCGCATGGCACAGGGAAACCGGCTCGGTTCTTTGTGGCTGTCTGGAGGGGTGGGATAGGGAGGGTGGGAGGGAGGGAGACAAAGAGGGAAGAGATATGGGAACATATATATATGTATAACTGACTCACTCTGTTATAAAGCAGAAACTAACACACCATTGTAAAGCAATTATACCCCAATAAAGATGTTAAAAAAAATAAAAAAAATAAAAAAAAAAAAAAGGAAGCAATTTAAAACATGAGGTGTTAAGCTGAAATGTCCCTTTCAGTGACTGAAGTCTTACTCTCTTCTACATAACCCAGCTTAGCATAGAAGGGGAGGCCATATGCAAAAAACAATGAACTAGATATTAAAATTAGTTTATTTTTCTACTTAACTTTTAATAAATGAGAAGAAACACAGTAGTCTGTCTCATAAAGAACATTTATAATACATAACAATCCATAAAGCCTCATGGTGAGGTAGGAACAGCTTTGGAAACAACGCACAGTCAGAAAACATACAAAAGTTAGGTAAAATGTTGCAGCACTAAAGACATTTTATCTGCATCTGCATTTCATGAGATGATAATTGCATTTAACTGTGCCACATCTGGCCCAAAGGACACCCTATGGCAGACACAGAACAACACAACATGTAAGTTTCATAAAGAATCACAGAATACACTGATACACTTCATTGTGCTGTTTCAAGGCAGAACCATAACATGGCAATTTTTTGTGTCTTTTTATATATAACCACATATTAATTGTATGTTACATTCCCTTCAGCATCTTTTTGCCAAAGATACTAAACCATAAAGTTTTTGGTTTAAAAGTTTAAATTGAATGACATACAAAAAGCTCTTGTGCCAGTGAAAATGACTGCTAAGTATTCCAGAGCTTGTTAGTGAAACTAAATAGCATTGTCACATAATATTGGTAGAGCTACATCAAAATAGTGCTATTACAATTCCCATTTCAGATGGTCAAACACTGTATGACAGTTTCAATTTAAAAAACGAGAAACCCTCCACCTTCCCAAGAGTTTTAACACTGTTTTATGACTTAAATGAAACTCTATTAAAATAAATATTTCTATACGGTAGGATTCTTCTCCTTATTTGCGTATGTATGAACATCTTAGGACAGCAGGTAAATGACATTTCATCAAATGGTATCTGCTTAAAAACAGTAAAAAGCTTCAACTCAATACCAGTTAGCCTACTAAATACTTCACATTAGATTCCATAGGACTTTTCCCTCAAAACTTTCAAGAATTCAAAATTAACTGAGGATGTTACCAAGATATAAACATATTAACATAGTCTTCTACCTGTTGTGATTTTCCAAGGTGCTCTTGATGGAAATTTTTCCTGTTCAAATTACACACCTTAGTTATTCAAATATATTGTTTTCTAAAATGTTAAAATACATACAGCGAAGTGTTTGTGAGTTTTTGACTATTCTTTTAGCTTCTAGTCCATACTTTTATAGTGCAGATGCTCTTCAAAAAAAAAACCTTATTAAAAAATCATAAACTAAAATGTGACAATGGAGAATTAAATCTCTCTCATCACTAAGGCGGCATTTGGCTTGGAAAAAATGTCTGGGTTGATTTTAATTCAGGCACATGTAGCACCTCCTTCTTACTAAATTGAGACAACAGACACATTTCTAAACACATATTCTAAATACACTGATCTTGCTCAAATATAAAAGAGCCAGCAGGCGAGATGCACCTCCTAAAACTGATGCAGTGTTATAAAACAGCATTTAAATATTGGGTTTAAGTCTCCTAATAATTCATGGTATTTCCCTCATTTTCTTGCAGGAAGGAATAAGCTATTTTGGAAAAGACACTTAAATCCCACAATATTTAAATATAAAAGCATTTTTAAAAAAGATAATGCTAATATAGCTAAAAATGGGTTAGAAAGTGCATTGTAAAGAAATAAATAATTCTCTGCTAAAACTCAAAAGGTGAGTCAGTGCCCACTGATTTTGCTATTATGACAAAAGTCCTTTGAAAAAAGAGAATCCTATGGTACCACTTCGTTACATATGAGCTACTTAAAATTATCAAAAGTGAAATAACTGAAATCTAAAGGCTGTTACTTTCAAAGCACTTATGAAAAAAAAAAAAGCCCTTGTCCCATGCTTATACACCATTTAAAAAAATCCTCATTCAGTCGATGTCTTATGCATTACACAACCTTTAAGAAATAGACCCAACAGAGCATTGTAAAGAAAACCTCATTGAATGTAATATATTTTACCAGTTATCCTTTTGTATCATTACTGACATGTTTCTATAACATACTGTTTTGAGATCTTCAAAAAATGGTTTTGTAAAGTGTTAAATCAGGAATGTACATGATACAATTTGAAGCTTTCTCTTGTTTACCCATGAGATTCCCCAATTTCATGTTTAAAAAAAATGTCTGCAAAATTCAAAGTAACTACCAGTTTAGGAATTGAAATACACAATATCAGAGAAAAGTATTAAATGATAAACATGTATTGCAAATTGGCAGGTTATGGTTTTGGCCCATTATAGCAAATGTGAACTTACAAACTGTGTTCCTAAAATTACCTCATTCTCCCTGGAAAAATCGGGTGTTCTTAAATAGGCCCATTGCCAGCAATAGGCTTATACTAGGAAAAAAACACACCATCTACCACAAAAGATCATCCCTTTAAAAAGTTAACTGTCAAATGCCACCATTTTCATGTTAAGACCCATTAGATAATGAATTATTTCAAATCCCAAAAGGTAGCCATCCCCAAAGTAGTCAGCTATAAAAGTTACTAAAGTAGTCAGGATACCTCGTTTCTAGAAAAATAGAGCTATACATGATAACTGATATTAACATCCATCCTTTTGAGGACAAAAATCTAGTTTCTTCACAAAGCATAACCCCTCCCTATCAAGAAAAATATAACTTAAATACCCTTAAATAATATTTGTGTATGGATTTGGAATCCATACCAACAATGAAATAGCTAAGAACAATTTCCTGTGTAGATATTATGGCATCTTGCAAAATAAGCTACTATTGGAAGATCTGAGCAATGTCAAGACAGAATGACTTATAGAATCTCAATTATTAATTGTGCCTTAACTAACTTTACTTTTTGAGAATTTAATATCCAAATTGCATTAACCTTCAGATTCCTTTTTTCTCCCAAGTCAATGGCTCTTGGCAGAGCACAGGCATTGCTGGTTGGGCTCAAAAAGCTCTGTTGAATCCATTCATGATTGGTCACTGTGAAATGACTAACTCTGAAGTTATTTTTAAAACCCACAATTTAAAAGATTAGATTAATAAGCTTTATTTAATATGTAGTTATTAGATTAAATTTAATGTCCTTAAAAATATTTACTGTATGCATTTTATGAGTAAACTTTCAACTCAATGTTCCCAATGCCAATCTTTCAAAGTAATGCTGGTGAACATGTCCATGTTTTTTTTTTTTTTTTTTTAAAAAAAAGGTTAAAATTCTCAGAATAATTTAGAAATGTAGTCTGAATATTAACATACAAGAATCTAAATATTTAATTTGGTAAACTTTCTTCCCTGCTCTTACTCCCCACATGCCCTATTATATGTACACTACAGTTCAATTTGTTAATTATTTCACTATTTGTTAGAATAATACTCAGCAATATAAGATACAGAATAGTAACTGATCTTCAGTATCATAAATACCCCCATGTGAAGAAAAAAAGGAACTTTTCCTAATAATTTTCATGAGTCATTCTTAAAATATGTTGCCATTATGCTATGCAATGATCTCAAAGGGCAAGTAAATATTACATAAAATGTCGAAAGAAATAAACCTGTTGATGATTTTTAAAGTTCCAGCATTTATAATTCTAATAAACAAAATATAACACTGGGGGAAAAGAAAAGCAGAGAAATTCCAGTAACAATTTTAATTTATTTATCCCCCTAATTAATTTTTTACCATGGAAAAACTGGAAATCAAATGTCATTATGTTATATAAGGTTTATACTTACTTTAAACAAAAATGTAACATAGTGTTAAAACTGGCTTTCCAAAACTGTTACAGCATAGCTGTACTCTGCACTAATAATCACAAAGTTGTAATATAGAACTCTGTTAAGCAGTCCCATTATGTTCTTACAAAAATAGAATTAAACTGTGTGACCAGACAAGGACTTCAATTACACTACTTGGCAAACATAGAATTTCAATGGAGTCTTTTTCCTCTTGCAGTTTAAAGGAAAAGTCAAATATCACATCTTTTCCAAGACTCACAAAGATGATTCAGGTTGTTTGTTTGGCATTTTTTTAATCTCTATCACAACAGCAGGGATGTTTTCAACTTTAGTCCTCCTGGGCTGCTTCTCTAGATTGTCACTAAGTTCTAAACAAGAAATGCTAACTGTTGGGGCCTTTTCTGCATCCTTTCCAGATTGGGCTTGTGGCCGTGTCCCACAACATTGCTTCAAAGCACACTGAGTTCTGCAGGCAAGTTCACATGGGACTACACTTGACTTAGAGCCTACACTAGCAAATTCAGGCTGAATGGTAGTAGCATGAATTCCGTGATTATGGAAAACGTCTTTAATGATCTTAGCCACCTGCATGTATGATGTCGGGTCTTCACATTTTATGTGAGCAGTGGCAATGATTCTGCTTCCAGCAAGTTGCCAAACATGTAATTCATGAACTTCCTCAACTCCTTCAACATCTCGAAGTTCTTTTATCAAATTTTTGATATCAATTTGTTTAGGAACAGTTTGGAGAAGAATAAGAGCAGACTCCTTAAGTAATGGGTAAGTTGTGTAAAGAAGTATACAAACCATTACAATACAAAGAGTTGGATCTAAATATAGCACCCAGCAAGGACCAGCCTCATAAACTGTTGCATGAGTACTATTAATTAATTCTACAAATGCTTTGCAGGGGTCAGGGGTACATGGGTTCACACACATCTCCCCTTCAGGACAACCTTCCCAAGAAAAGTAAAAGACTAAGGCATTTACTACTACAATCACTGAACCCAAAGCATCTCCAAAGACATGCAGAAAAACTCCACGCATGTTAAGCTGTCCAGCCTTATCATCATCATCTTCCAATTCCACCTGGTCAGGTTCTCTGATAAGATTCCCATTCACTTGTACTTCCATTGCATCATTTCTGGACTTTTCTGGATCTACAAAGAAATAAAAATTCTGTATCAAACACATCTAAAGTGTTTATATAAACATTCTTGCCTAATTCCATTTAAGTGATAGAAGTGAAAATTTTTCATAAAACATAATAAGAAATGTGCTCAGAGTGATTTAATATAAATTGACATACTGGGAACAAGCCAGGACATAATGGCCAGGGCTAAATTAAGTCATTAAGATGATAGTGCTTCCCCATACTCCTAACCACCCTCCTACCTTCCCACCTCCAAATAAAGTTCACCTTTTCTGTGGGGGTGGGGTCCTGTGAACATTCTCCTATACTTGTTGGCATACACCAAAAAGAAAACAAAATTGAACGCTATCACCCAAAATTAAATGCAACTATGGATAAGTCTAATACAAATGGCTGACCTGACGCAGAGGTCTAGTCACTTTTCGTAGTCACTAAGGTGTTAACTTTTAAACTTTTATCATTTATATAAATGATACAGCCTCTTGACAGAAGAGGTTTAGAAACTGACAAATCAACAATATAAACCTATCAGCAATCGCAGAGACTTCAGGAAAAGTTGGAACTAAATGATCACTATCTACCCTACTAGCTCCTAAACCAAACGTACGGATCCTTTAAAGGAATTATACACACCAGAGCAGCTTAATATTCTTTGGAATAACACCTGGCAGAGTGGGAGTGAGAGGAAATTCAACTGTTTATTAAACATCTTCAACGTACAACTTGAATTTCATTAACATGATATTCTGCATCCTGGAAAGAGGAAAACCGTCTATGTGGTATCATACAACTAGGTAAATAGATGTAAATGGAAAAAAGTGGAAGGAAATACAACAAATTGTTAACATCACTGAGCTTGGGTAGTAGGACATTAGGTTGATTCCTTTTCCCGTCTCCTTTCTTTCAACATTCATTTCCCAATTTCCTTCAAACTCGCTTAATGTTTAGAATGAAAACTATCCATTAAAAATATAAGATGAATCAATTACCATCGCTTTTATCTTAGTACGATTATGAAAAATCCTAAGTGAAATGTTAAACATGCCCATACAGGTTCTAAGTCTAGGATTTTCAGGATTAGGTTTAGATTTTAGAAAATTAACTGAAACATACATTGCTGCTCATGATAGAAACCTTTAACGAGGGTTTTGAGCTCAGGAAAGTCAATCACTAGATAGCCCCGAATACAATATTAAGAAACTTGTTTGAAGGGCATAAGAACTACTTGGGCAGAGCAAGGTTCCTAACAGCCAACAACTAAGGACCAAATGGGGATTCTCTCCGTTTCCCAATCGGCCCAAGAAATTAGCATTTTTTGATCCTGCTAACGCCAAAATCAGACAGCTTCTTGAAACGACAGCTTGTAAAGACTGTTAAGTTTGGTTGCAGACCGCAGCGGGCTGACGGTCACCTCCTGACCTTTTGCCCGCTCTCACCACCACGGTGCCCATCTACACTCCCAGACGCGCTCCCCCGGCTCCTGACACCGGGCTGAAAGGGGGGCCGCGTCCTCCGGGCAAGGCGGGGTGTGAGTGCCGGAGCGGGAAGGAGTGGCCAGGTAGGCGGCGCGGCGCGGTCGGCTCGTACACCAGGGGGCGTGCTGGCCATCCTGCCCGGGGCCATCCCGGGGTCTGGGCTCCCCAATGCCAACCACCTGCGGCGGCGACTTTCTCTCCTCACCTGTCCGGTCCAGTTTCAGCCCGTTGGAGTTGCTGCTATTGGCCACCAGGATGTTGGTCTCCTCCTGGTCGGGACCTTGCTCGGTAGCCCTGTTGTCGCTACCCCCGGTGCGGGTGCTCTTGCCGCGGCCCCCCTTGGGGAGGCCGTGGCTGTGCCCCCCGTGCGAGTGCCCGTGGCCGGAGTCGTTGCCGAAGCCGCTATGATGGTGGAAGAGGCAGAGCCCCAGCACGTTGACCACCAACCCCGCCACGCCGACCCCGAGGACCACCAGCGGCTGCTGCATCTCGTGCGGCTCGAGGAAGCGCTCGATGGCCTCCAGCAGGATGGCGAAGCATAGGCCGGTCAGGAAGATGGCGTTCACCAGAGCCCCCATCACTTCGGCCCGGATCCAGCCAAAGGTGTTCTTCTGGGTGGCGTGGGTCCGCTGGGCGAAGCGCTCGGCCACCAGCGCCACCACCAGCGCCAACACATCCGACAGCATGTGGAAGGAGTCGGAGAGCATCGCCAGCGACGAAGTCACCCGGCTCACCACCACCTCCAGGACCATGAACATGAAGGTCAGCATCAGCATGCACAGCAGCCGTCCCCGGTTCCGACCCCAGCACCCCATGGCTGCGGCTCAGGAGCCCGCCGAGCGCGGCCCGGACACTCGTGAGGCGGCGGCGGCGAGGCGCCGAGGGCCGGCGACCCGGCGACGGATGGAGGGCGGCGCGGGGCTCTCACCGCCCGAGCCGGGCCGCTCGGGAGTCTGCCGTGGGGCCTCGGCGGCCGGACAAGGGCGAGCCCGGGGTCAAGCCGCCGAGCCCCCGCGCCTGCGGGCGTCCCCGGCGGGCCGGCGGCGCGCTGCTCCTCAGGCGTCCGTCCTCGGAGCCGGCGCGGAGGCCCGGCTCAGCCCCAGTAGCCCCCACACCTAGAGCGGGCGGCGGCGGCGGCGCGGAGCTGGGGCTCCCGGAGCCCGCGGACCGAGAGCCGGAGCAGGAGCAGGCGAGCGGCGGGGGCGGGCGACCAGCAGCTCCGCGCTGCAAAGGCTCCAAGCATCTGCGGGCTCTCCGCGCAGGTCTTCCCCTCGCTGGTCTCCCTCCGGGGTCGCTCGGACCGAGGAGCCAACGCCTGAAGAGCTAAAGAGGCGGCGGCCACAGCAGCTGCACTCGGCCCGGTATCGGGCGCCTTCTTCGCCCCCCCGCCTTTGCAGACGGTTTACAAAAAAACTTTGCTTTGCACTCGGAACCCCCGTTTTCACACGGACCCGAACGTGACAAGGCCTCGCCGTCCCGCCCACCAGGCCCGGCACGCTTCCCCATTGGCCAGGACCCCCTCACGACAGCTGTCGCGCCCCGCCCACCCGCGCTCACTATTGGATGGAGGCTCGGCGGGGCAGGAGGGGGCGGTGTCACGGCGCCAACAGATGGGGGGCGGGGCCTTTCCCTTCAGGAGCCGGGCGTGGGCTGGGGGCCGCGGCCGGGTGCAGCGATGTACGTCGTGGGGGAGGGAAGGGGGTGCGGGCCGCGTGCAGCAGGAGGGGGAGGGACAGGGCGGGGCAGGAGGGGTCCCCCAGGCGTGGCGGGGCTTTTGCTCTGGGGTTTCGGGTTCTAGCAGCCCCCCGCCGGGCAGCAAACAGACTTTGATCCTCCGAGCCGGGTCCACGTGGGGCGGGCCGCGCGGCCGCTCTGTGACAGACGGCAGCCTGGGAGGGTCCGGGAGGGGGAGCCCTTGTGTACGGGGCCCTCGGGTGGGCGCTCCTGTCCGGAGAACCGAGATTAGGCAGACAGACTCGTAAACAAGTGCAGCACGTAACTTGTGACTCTGCTCAACACCTAGCTGAAGAGTTAGTTCAGGGCGGTGCTGCGAGGGGATGAACGGAATCTTTGTAAATGTTTCAATAAAGCAAATCACCCCTATCACCCCATCCCCAGGAGTGCTTGTGTGAAGTACGATATTTCTGTCACTGATTATTTAAGGACCATTTAGGGTACAGAGTTAAAGCAGGAGAAACCTGGGTTCTGGTCCTTGCTTTGCCACTAGCCGGCTGTGTGACTTTGGGCCAGGCAACCGATCTCTCTAGACCTGTTTCTTCATCTATGAAGTAAAGGATTGGACAAGAGGAACTCTTAAGGTTCCTCCTGACTTTAAAATTCTAAGGCTCTATGACTTAACATTTTATTGAAACATAGAAACAGCAGAACCCTGTGTCGGTTGCCATGGGGAAGGGGAGGAGCAGTAAGAATACAGAAGAATGAGCTGTCCAGGTGAAGGTAAAATATAAACATATAAAAATTTAAATTACTATGAAATACCCCTAATTGTGCCAACACTAGTTTAGATTGGATACATATGTGCTGTGCGCTGAGTGGAGATTAGCTAATTTGAAAGTGAAGCCTTCCTGCTTCATAAGTGGAGAGATGACTGGAGTCAGAGTGGCCTGAACTGGACTCCCAAAGGCCTCGCCACAGCCCCTGAACAGCAGGAAGGACCTGGAACTGCTGTGGACTGCTGGAAGACAAAGGTAGCGCTAGCCAGTGCCTCGGGGTCTGTTAAATAAGGCTTGTTTGGGGGCATGTTTTTTCATTTAAAAAAATATTTTTATTATTTCTATAAAAGATTTTTCACTTGTGTATGGTGTGTTTCTTATCTCCCCACCCAGACTAGAGAGCCAGATCCTCATCTATTTCTGTTCTTCTGGAATAGAAATGAATGGAGGAAAATTTCTGAGACATTTATTACAGAAGAATTGCTAGGACTTGATTAACTGGATATTGGGAGAGTGAAAGCTGATGAGGAGAATTTAACAAAGATAGTTTTTAACTTGACAAGGAAAATATTGCTTTAAACAGGTGAAGAAGTTGGGAAGGGGGTGCAAGGAGCTGATTTTAAGGAGAAAATACTGGGCCTGTTTTTAAGGTGCTGAATTTGAAGTCTGGATGGTGGCAGCTCTAAGGAATGGGGAGATGGGTTTGGGGACTTCCATGATCTCCATCTCCTTTGATGTAGGCAATTGATGTTTGTGTGCTCATGTATGTAAACACAGCTTCAAACCTCCTTCTAACCAGCTGCTCCTATATAGAAATTGGGGAGCCACGTTTGGGTCAAGATATCCTATGGAAATGGCCAGGAGGCAGTTGGAAGACCATTTTGCCTCTTATTGGGAGGGGCTGTGTCCCTTTATTTAAAAAAATAGATTCCTTTATGGAGTTCCCTTGTGGTCTAGTGGTTAGGATTCAGTGCTTTCACTGCTGTGGCCCGCGTTCAATTCCTGGTCAGGGGAACTGAGATCCCTCAAGCCGCTTGCAGGGTGGCCAAGGCGGGGAAAAAAAGATTCCTCCAAGTATGAGAGCTTAATGCCCAAAGAGTAATCAATAAGGAAATGTAGAAGGCAAAGATTCTCAGCAAACAAGGTAGCAATCCTTTCAAAAACAAAGCGGACTGAATTGGGAGATGTTTAGACTCACATAAAAGCAGGCTCTTAGGTTCAATTCAACTCAGTAGTCACTTATGAGAACCTGCTTTGTGCAGCATCTTTTTTTTTTTTTCCTCTTGTAAGCCACTTCCCAGACAATGTGCTTTATACTCTCATAACCTAGAAGGGGGGAGGGGTGTCAGAGGTACATTTTCCAGGTTGGAAAAAGTCATAATCATGCATTCCAGAAAGAGTAATATCATTTATATAACAGCAAAACATTTCAGTCAAATAAACTTTTCTTCCCCCCACCTGGCATAGTGTAGTCAAAATACTTCAGTAGCTTGACTCAAATTTATCCTTTTTCAGCTGGTTATCCTAGCATAGCGTTAACACAGCCAGAAGGGGGTTAAAATGAAGAGAAACCATACCATTATTCACCACAACCCCTGGAAGATGTGGCCCCAGGATGAGTAAGATGGCTTGGCTGTTTCTTCCTAATTCTTGAGAACTCTCCTGACAATTTGCTTGGCTTCCAAACTGACTAAACTCAGCATACTTTAAAGATGAGAAAATAATGCTTCTTTTGGTAAAAGACTGCCAGTTTGAGTGAAAGTCAAATGTTTAACACAAACTTTGCAATTTCAGAGCCCTCTAAGACCTCTCCCTGCTCTATCAACGCCAAGCTCCTCCGAATTGGAGCTTCCTAGCTCAAGGATCTAGCCTGCACGTTATCAACCCAAAGTGTAGGTTTAAAAGGATTCCTGTAAAACACAAACAAAAACTGCTAAGCACAGACACACCTCTGAATCTTGGTTTTTAAAAATCATGAGTGTATGAAGCTGTACCGTTGACAGACAGATGAAGAAAAGCATGTGAAAACCAGATTACATTTGACTTTGGTTAATAGCAAATCACTTCTAATGTTCAATCTTGAGGCAGAAATGATGGGGAAATCAGATCTGTTTGTTTTGTTTTGGAATGTATTGAATAATTATTACAAATATAAACTAAAATCTCTAGCAACGACATGAGGGCCAAGGCTTGAATTTTTAGCTGCTCCCTGAGGGAACAGGCAGTAGAAAAAAGAATAAACAAGTAACAGTGCAGTAATAAAGCCCAGAAACATCACAAAAGAGCTCGGAGGTATAAGGGAAACCATATGAAAGAAAGGGTCAGAGCAGGAAACCCTACTCGGAAGCAAGGGAGAAACAGGAACAGGGTAGGGAGTAGAATGTACAGTGAGAGGCCCAGGACAAGCAGTGAGCTTTCTGTATTTGTTGGTTAAGCTAAAGAATGGCAGGTAAGAGTGAATAGCAAAGGAAAACTCATTTTTCTTAGAGACTGAAAACTGGATCCAAGATCTCCGGTCATGCCTGGAAATTAAATCTAGCAATAAAGGCCCTGACACCTATACAGAAAGGCTTGTTAAAAGCATTTGTGAATTTTTTGGGTGCAGTATTATGTAATACCAGAAATTGTGGAAGGCACAGTTAGTCAGTTTTAAGGTTTAGGCTGACTGCCCGTTCTTTCTTTAGCCCTTCTAGTCTAGGAGCTGGAGATTGTAATTAAAATTCAAGGTACAGAAGTTTTAAAAAATATATAATTTAATTTAAAATGTGTTTCTATGACTCTGTCCATTACTTATCTATAAAGATGATGTTGACCAGTAAACCATTCTGAAAGTATTACACACCTAATGAGTTTTAGAAAGTTCAGGGAACTGTTCCTTAAAAATTACTGACTTTGGACAAGTTACTTAAAACTCTCTAGGCCTCACTTCCCCCATCTTTTTAGTGAGGCATTCTGAGAGATGGCCACTTCACTGGAGTTAAGATGTGAGTAAAGGAGATGGTACTGCCTGCCTGATACTCTCAGGGTGGGTGGGAGTGGGGGGCTTTCAGGCTACCTGTACCTGGGGTCACCATGAATCCAGGGCTGAAATTTTAACTTGCAGATTCAGACACCACATTTTTATCATTTTACCTGGAGTAAACTGATTCACACGGACTCAAAATGGACTAATTTGCTGGCCATAACCCCCCCTTTATTCACTTTGTCTTAGAGGGGAGAGCTCATTGCACAGAGCCTGCGTCTCTCTTGCGGGCAGGGCCTCTCAGAAGCAAGGTTGTATGGGGAGCAGAGAACTAGGCCAGAGGAGTTGGATCTTCCACGGAAGGGAGTGTTTCTCTCTCCTGAGCTGTTAGAGTCTCCTGCCTGTCTCTGCACATACACTCTGCCCTCCTGTGTCTGAGTTACACTCCATTTTGCTGCCACAGTGATCTTTTCAAAACCCAGATCTGATCATTTCAAAATACACATCCTCCTCCACCACCACCACCACCACCACCATCACAGCTACAATCCCTCAGTGGCT